GGCAAGGCAATTTATTCATATAGCACGATCAATTTTAATTATTTCACAGTTCAGTGTTGTTATGGTTAAATAAAACGGTTATGTTTTTTTTGTTGTTGTTTTTTTTTTTCCTTTCTTTTTTTCAACAGCATGTCTAACCTCAGGAAGGCAGGGAAATGCCAGGAGTTGTGAAAACACAATGTGCATGAGGCCAATGCTTTTAAGTAAAAAAAATGTCTGTTTACTACAAACAACCAGATTTTCACTTCACAAGATGTTAATTGACAAACTGGAGTCTTGTGGATTATTGTAATGTTTTCATTAGCTGTTTGGACTCTCATTCTGACGGCACCCATTTACTGCAGAGGATCCATTGGTGATCAAGTGATGTGATGTGATTTCTCCAAATGTTTTTTAAAGAAGAAACAAACTCATCTACATATTGGATGGCATGAGGGTGAGTAAATTTTCAGCAAATTTTCATTTTTTTGGTGAACCATTCTTTTAAAGATCTGTATTTATATGCATTTGGCAAGAAGGGGAAATCCTAAGGCCCTGATATAGACATCAAGCAGAATCAAAGAATGAACATGCTGTGATGTCGTTTTGAACCAAATTAAGGCAAAATAGAGATAATAGTTTTGGGCATTTAAAACATCTTGCCAGAGCAAACTTTCTGGCTGGTAAACACCTTTAAACTTCCATTGGTCTGTGGTGATTATGTAATAGGTAGATGTGGCTATGTGGCTCCGCCTTCTTTGACATGGGAATCTTCTCCGGTTTCATTTCTTTTTTAGTCTGTTGAGGTCCAACGTGAGTAATAATGCAAACACGGACAGCTGCTTTATAGTAGTAAGTGAAGTTGTAATTCTAACTTAAAGCAACACTGACACTTTTTCATGTTTAATACTGTAAAGCCACTTGTCATTTATAACAATCTATTATATTATACTGCTATATGTGACTTAACTGGAGTGCAAAACTGCAGCATTGTTATAACATATCCACATCTCTATGATCAGATGCTTTCTTAAATGTTGTTTTCTCACCGCTGTAATTTTTAATTGTGTATTTATTTCATTATTGAGAGGAACGTGTGCAGCACATATTAACAGATTCATCCAAATGCCGCTCCCAGCAGCGTTGGATGTTAGCTAACAGTATTCCACTGCTCAGGTATTTCAAACTTTGCTTAACCCTTAATCAAAGAAATAAAAAGAACTTTGCCGTGAGTATATTGGGGCTTTTAAACTAACACCATAGGGCCCAAGAGCAAGATAAATAGTTTCAGTCACTGCAGTAAAACTGTACTGTAATTTGCTAATTTAATGCTTAGATATAAAAGTGTCCTCTAACTGAAAAATTAACTTATTTTTATAATAATCATCTAAATAAAGAATAAACTTTATAATAACCATTCATGAACTGGCTAGGGAGCAACAAGACTTTTCTGAGAGCCAACAAAGCTGCCAAAACTATACTGCTATACAAATAATTTAAAGAAAAGCCCATTAAAGCCACAGAGAGGTTAGTTTAATAACTGAATATTTTGTTTAATAAAACATATTGCTTAATATTAGTGCAGACCATATGCACACACAAATGGATATCACAGATTTTGATTGTTTACTTGAACAATTTGCTAAAAAGCATGCAAAAGCAAAAAACATTAGCTACTCTACTCTAAGTGTCAAAAAAACTGAGTTAAATATGAAATCAGATCGCTTAGACCAAAGATTTTCAAACATGGGCCCATGAACCCCTAATGGAAAACAAATTGTTTGAGGATCCATAGAAAATTTTAGGAAAAAAAGACTACACATAATGTATGTTTTAGGGATGAGAAATTAAAAATATTAACTTAAGACATTAATTAAATATGTTTAATACAGTATTTTAATACATTTATCAAATTTGATTACAGTTAATTTCTAAAGACAAAATTGTTTAAACTGAAATAGAGTCAAAAATGTTTACGCACCTAATATTACTCTAATAATGGCCAGAATGTAATGAAATTTAATACAAAGTAAAGTAAAAAATATATTGAAAGAATCTTCTTTGGCTTTAGTATAGTGACAATATAAAAGCCTATTCTTTTATTTTGGAAACAAACAAATGAAGAAACGATATATAAATAGCTATATAATATATTCCTTTATTTAAATGAAGTCATATGAAAATCATTTTCGTATATCAGTTTTAATCACTAATTAAATACTTTAAATGATTATATTTTAGAATGCCTCCCCATGATTTGACAGTTTGACAAAAAACGGTTTATCACAAGAATGAGGAATTTGTGCATTAGTTACATTCACTTATATGTTTCAATCTGGGTTTTACAGTCATTCCCAATGTTAACGTTCTTTGACATACTCATATTCTGCCATATGGAGGTCTTTCTATGCTCAAAAAACGATCCAATCAGCAGTAAACAAATCAGACAGTGCAGACACATCTCTCTAGAAAATAACAGTGACGGATGGAGAAGTATGATTGATAATTATAGTTAGTGTGCAGGTGAACCAACAGCAGCGCAGTGAGGAGAAGTGAAGCTTTTTGATCTCATTTTAGAGGCTGTCAAGTGTAAATGTGCTGCCAGGCCGTGCCAGACCCAGAGCGAAGGGACTGCAGTTCCTACCTCATTTAGCTGTTTTTGAAGATGTGTGAGTTTGATAAAGCTATCAGCCATGCTATCCCTCAGCCTCAATAGACAGGCAGGTTGATAGCGCCAGACACTGCTGTCTATCTCAGCTGCCGCTCTTCCTTTGCATACTTGCCTCTCTGAGCCGCTGAACATGCTCTTATCTCTGACTTCCTGCCTGTGGTCCGATCGGACAGATGGCTGGCTGAAGAGGGCACCGGGGTGAGTTCGTTTCCATCAAAGGGGGAAAATGAATGCGTGTGGGGCGGCACATGCAACTTTGGATCGAAAATTTAAAGGGGTCACATGATGCGATTTCAAGTTTTCCTTTTTCTTTGGAGTGTTACAAGCTATTCGTGAATAGATAAGATCCCTAAAGTTGCAAAGACTAAAGTATCAAACCCAAAGAGATATTATATATAAAAGTTAAGACTCGTCCACGCCCTCCTAAAATGCCTCGTTTAAACACGCCCCCACATGTCTATGTCACTGTGTGGAAAGATTTGTACAACACCGCCCAAATGTATACGCAAGAAAGAAGGCGTAACTTTGATTCTCGCTGTAGTATTGTTGCCGCCACCATGTCGTGCAGACGCTGTGTGTGTCGTTGTGAAAGAGAAACTACTTTGTTTGGTCTTCCAAAAGAGGACACAACTAGAAATCAGTGGTTACGCTGTATTTACAACGCTGTTCCAGAACAGTTCAAACCAAATATTCAGATGTGTGCAACGCATTTTACGGAGGACCAGGACTGTTTCCTGGGAGAGTAGCCTACAATGCCGGTGTTCTGGTGAATTCAGTTCCCCTGTTTCCCCTTCAGCACACATGCTGACCCTATACAATCTATGATGCTGACTCACAGCCTGTAAGTATGTTTTCATATTTAAAGGATTTGCCACTGACAATTCAAATGCGAGTTTTGAGCAGTGTAGAGTAGCGCTTGTTGTTTGTCGTTTTTCCGATCACAAATGCAGACAGGGTTTTATGTTTACGCAGTGCGATGCAACGCATTGCGTAAAAAGACAGTATAAGTCATTATGATCAGTAATTATGTCCCCACTGGATGCAACAAATGCCTCGTTTATAATGGGTTTTATTGGTTTTGTCTCGTCACGCCGGGACACGGCATCACAGGGGCGGAACATTTCCGTCACACGTGTGAGGATTTCGGCCAATCACAACGCACTAGGTAGCTGGACAATCAGAGCACACCTCGCTTTTCAGAACGATGAGCTTTGTAAAAATGTACGCGTTTCAGAAAGGCGGGGCATAGAGGAGAAACAATAATGTACAGTATGCGGAAAATAATGTGTTTTTTGAACCTTAAACTGCATAGACACATTTCATTACACCAAATTCATAAAATAATGTTCTTTTTTAGCAACGTCATATGACCCCTTTAAAAATCCCAATGGCAAAATGCGAGGACGGACGGTCACAGCGCCCTCCCACTCTTTCAGAAGGAGAACAAGTTCTATTTGTCTCTTCAGACAATTTGATGAAGGCAAAATTACTCCTGACATGTTTTTGGCACTTTTCAGAACCTCTGATCCAAATACATCTAGCTGATGTCTTTGGACTGAGGAAAATCATGACAACTGATTTTCAACTGAGCTTTCAACAACTATAAAGATTTGTTTGACCATCTTCTTCTGGCAGGTTGGTTGCATACCATGACTTGGATTTGTTGGGAAACTGGAGTAAAAATTCAGCTTTGTCATCAAAGGAATAAATATATTAAAATAGAAAACAGTTATTTTAAATTGAACTAAACTACAAATACAATATATTGATTTTCTCACTATCTTCCAACTCAAGAACACAAACTTTTTGAAGGCTTTGCCATCAGGCTTAGATGCTCTAACTCACATTTTACTTTTATCTCCTTCGCATTGTGAGGCCCAATGTTTTTCCAAGAAGACGTCGTTATGGTTTTAAGTGAATTCTAAATAAGTAATATCTGTGATAAATGTTTTATTCATTTTTACATCAAAACTGTACTGACATTTTGCCTTGACACTCCGGTCCTCATGAGAGTTAAAAGACAATGGAGGACGTTCACACTAATCTGGGCAGCCAATTATTTCTTCTTTTAAGCAGACCATCCCTTTGTTAATTTTATTTCGTTTTCCAATTAAGCGAGATAAAACATAAAAGCATATCAGCATTAATGCCCATCCTGATTTCTTTAAAGGGGTGTTTTTATGCATGCATAGTGAAGAAAGTTCTCAAATCCTTTCTAGTGCTGGTCTCTCAGCAGACAAAATTCAAAGGCCTTTGTAAGTCAGTGGCCAATGCACCAGGGAGAGTGAGAAGATCTAAGGATCTATTCTCATGGTACTCAGTTTTGGGCTCTGTACATTTCTGAACTTGCCTCCAAAGTGGTACGTGCTTCCTGTTGTGATCTGGACAGGCGAGGTGGTTCTCACTGCTGATGCTTCATCCCCATCAATGGTCAGCATGGCAAAATTCTCTTTAGCCAGGAAACGAACATCATGCCATTCTCCATCATTCAGACCAGAACCTATAAAAAAGATGGAAAACTATTGATTAACATCCAAAACAACGCTGCAACCTTTTCACTGCTGAATCTGTCAAGTAAAAATGTGTACTTACCTTACACCTTGAATACATGTGATCTTAATTATTATGGAAAAATCATAGAATAAACATATTTCTCAAGTTAAAAAGTATATTTCAACAAATATCATGAATTCTTAAATCATATCATACCAACATTCTTTTGGGTAGTCACACTACATAACATTTTGCAACCTAAACTTGTCCTAAAAAGGTTAAATTATCTTATATTTTAAGAGTAATTAATCTTGATAAATAATTATGGGTTCTCTCCTTGTTATCATTTCCTGTTGTTGTTTTTTCCTCTTGTTTCTATCACAGTAGTCATGCCAAATGACTTTTATTTAGTGCACAAATGTTTTTCAAATATTAAACTGTAATAATATTTCAGAATATGTTTTTAACTGTAGTTTTGATTAAATAAATGCAGCATTGGTGAGCAGAGACTTCTTTCAGACAAAAACAACCTCAAACTTTATATTTTAAGAAATACCAATAACATATTTCTGTCTTAATTAGGTTTTCTATGCTAAAATCTTTTAAAGAAGCTTTCTACTTTAACATTATATCAGGAACATTTTCTCACCTTGACTTTCTGCCTACAATCAATCAATCAATCAATCAATCAATGAAAAAATCCTAAATTAAAAACATAATTAAAGAGGTGTATTCAAGTCAATGTACGCATTAATTGCATTTTCAATTAATTATCAAATAAACAAACATATACTGAACAGGATTTTACATCTGGAATTCAAATGCAATCCGCAATAGGCTGCTGATGATAAAAATACAAGTCTAAATGTCTACACCGAGGGCAGATTCAGGACGACAGGGGTTCAGGTTAACAAACCCACAGCAGCTGTTGATTTGACAGCTCTGATTGATAAATCAGAGAGTTATTATTTACTCTGATGCCATAGTGAAGGGCAAAAGTCATCCGAACATAATAACCAGGTTGATGGTAGCTTAGAGCAATGAATTCCTTTCCACCATTAATCATGACTGGTGGAAAGACATTAGCTCATTGGACGTCCCCAGTGGCCAGTTTACCTCTATCTGTCACACACCACAAAGCACTGAACAACTGTTCTCTCCTTCTTGACCGCTCTCACTCTCAGGCACAGTCCACTTGGCACGAACAAGGCCAAAGTACCTTACACGCCATTACCTCTGATAAATTTGTTTCTCAGAAGTTGCTGGTGATACGAAGGGACAGCGCTTTCTGCCATTTACTAGTATGTCATCCATCAGTTTCCCTCAAACTCTGTACATTTTGTGCTTGCGTAGGTGTATGAAGCGAACGGTGCAGCAGACATGCCTGTCACGAGCTGCTCTGTGGGACAGTTGGACAAACAGATGGCTTTTGTGTACAAGATAAATTACGTTAAGTGTCCTGGTATGACAACACAACATCAAACGAGTGTCAGTGACGTCTGAGATTTGAGTGTACAAAGCTGATGAGATTAAAGTGTGAGTTGTGTCTGATTATTTCAGGATGCCCTGGAAAAAACAACAGCCTTTTTAAGATGGTTTAGTTCTTATATAACCAGTTTCATGATGGTCAAACACATCTATCTTCAGCAATAACCAACTTGTGCCAGTAACAGACTAGAATTGGTCAACTAAAACTAGTTTAAACTGAAGTTTAAACAATATATTGCAATACATAAAAAAGCAAATAAGCACGTAGTCTGATACACAAACAAATGGCTGATTTGAACTAGTTCTTTTGAATCATTCAAGAGACTCACCAACTCAGAAGTTACTGGTCTGAATCAGTCTGACGAGTGACAAATCTGAAATAAATGCATTTATTTATAATAAAATCAGCTAAAAGAAGTAGCAGATTAATATACAGAAATCTGACCTAAAAAAGCCAAATTAAGAGAACTCTAATAAATGAAAACATTTTTCCCTTTTCTGTCCCACGTTTTTGGAACACATTTTGGACAGAAGCAGCTGATAATATGAACATATGTTCATATTATAATTTAGAGTATATATATTATACATTCTAATGAATCAGTTTAATAATGAGAGGAGCCTGTATGTTGTCTGCCTCCTCTACCATTTGTGTAGTAATTAAAACTATCACAAACTCTTGTTTGAAAGAAATATTAATAAATATATACTTTTTTTATGCATCTGAGTTTTGCCCATTGGAGAGTAAATGAATTAAAACATAAGTTAATTTGATCAGATTTTTTGTTACTTATCTCTAAAGACAGAAGTTTCATTGGTTGCCTTACAAAAAAATGATGCCGAAATTGTTAACTGATTAGAACTATTAAACAAAATTAATCAAATTTATGAATCGTCTATAATAATTGTGTGTTTTTTAATACACATTCACAAAGAATGTATTAAAATTTAAATGAACAATCATCAAAAACTGTCAATATGATCTCTAAATTTAAAGCTTTTGTATTAGCAATGCTTTAAAGGTTGAAAATACTCATTCATTTTTATTAATTTCTCAGAAAACAAGACAATGTTCAAGCAAATGTATCTTGTTTTCAGGATGTTAAGGTATTGGAAAACTAAATAAAATACTGAACAAGATACTTTTTTTTTTTGCAGTACATGCAACATTTATTGAAATGACTATGAATTTAAGACTTTCTGCTTGATTTAAGACTTTTTAGGCCCTAATTTGTGGAAGAGTGAATTAAGACTTTTTAAGCCCCACAGAAACCCTGTAAATATTGTGATTAAAAGAATTGACTTATATCACCTGCCCCAAATACCATCCACCAGAAAAACACAGACACACACACAAAAAAAAGTTTTATAAACATTCTCTCAGTGCACACATAATACACTCAAATGCACTCTAATTAGGTCATAAAGGTGGATCAGGGGGCACAGTCTTGATGTACATCTCCACAGCATCACTATGTCCAGCCTTTTTGCAACTTTCCTAATTACACTACATCAGTGTGAGAGGGAAGCACCCCTGCATGTCCTCATGAGAGACCCTGCAGTCGCTACCCACTGTCACGGATTAATTAACACAATGTGGGTCCCTTGAACTCTGACAGATCAACCTACAGTCATTACTTTCCACCTGCTTAATCAGCTTTCCCATGATAACCTTCAGCTCCTCAGGATCACACACATACAACATGGTCTCTCTCTTCCAACATGATTGAACTCCACTGAAAGAATAAGAGACACTCATAGACAACACCGCCCAAATAGATTTTGATAAATGTCTGGTGGATTCCAGCCGCACAAAACCATTAAAGTGTGAATGACATTTGAAGGACTCGGTGCCCTTTAAAAAGCAGGTGCATCTTCATATGGGGTTCAAAGGTAGAGATGCAATTACAGGGATGCACAGCCTCCAGCTCTATTTGTCATCATGGTAAGTCTGATATTTGAGTAAGGCCTGCAAACGGCTCTCTGCAACTCAAGCCAAGAAGCCCCAGATGCAATAATGTCATCAAAAAGGATTGCTGGAAAAGTTTCCGCTTCCTCACTACTCAGAGGTTCACAGACACCAAGCCATGATTAATGTTAGGCTTTGCCAGGAAAGAGTGCTCTTGGGAGAGCAGGAACTTCAAGCTTCAGCTTTTCCATGAATATGTTTTTGATAGCGGAGTGTCTGAAATTGTCTTAGAAGCTCCTTTTTTAAACATGAAGAGAGAGGTGCTGAAATATGTATCATGCCTCCTCTGGTCACCCCACAGAAGAATATTAATGACTTATCCGAGGGAGGTCTTGGTTATGTGACCAATTCAGATTTTCTATGAATGTCACAGGCAAAATCGTTGGAGGAAGTTCAGTAAGAATGAGTGATGCACCAATTTTGCATAGTGTCTGATTCACTGATGGACTTATTCAAATGAGGTACTGGTAAAATCGCAATAGAAAGTGTGCTTTCAATGAGTCTTGTAAATAAGGTACAATATATTGAGCCAAAATTATGGAGGCATGTTTGTGCCAAAAATAAAGACAATTACTTAGCTTCACTACACACAGCACAATTTCATCACATTTAATACGTAGTTAAACTACTTTGTGGATGGTTAATAAATAAGACATTTTTCCGCATGCACAAGTAATACTGCTCTTTAATGAAAGTTTATTCTTTTCATTTGATGTGTTATAGAAATTAGGTGATCTGTAAACCTTTCAAAATGCTTTGAGACAAAAATACACAACTGTTCAAAAGTTCTGATTTTGGGTTGGTAAGTTTTTTAAATGTTTTTGCTTATGTTCACCAAGGGCAAAAAATACAGTACAAAACAGTAATACTGTAAAATATTATTACAATTTAAAATAACTTTTCTGTTTTAATATATATTTTTTAAATTATTTATTTCAGTGATGACAAATTTTTGAGCAGCCATTAATCCATTACACACCATTCAGAGTCACATGATCCTTCGGAACTCATTCTAATGTACGGAATTGGTGTTTAAGAAACATTTCTTATGATTATCGATGTTAAAAGCAGTTGTGCTGCCTAAAGTTTTTTCAGAGTTTTTTTTTTCAGGATTATTTGATGAATAGAATGATCAAAAGAACAACATGTATTTGAAATAGAATCTTTACTGTCACTTTCGATCAATTTAATGCATAATTGCTGTATAAAAGTATTAATTTCTTTCAAACAGCACTGAAAAAGTAAAATTGAATAGAATAATTGCTTGTAAGTTCCATAACTGGACAGTTATAATTATGACTCCATAAAAGCCTTTTATGGACACAAAAGATTGGGTATACAAATAGTCTGTTTTGACAATGCACAGGCTATTTTGAGTGAAAACCCGCTGATATTTGTCTAAGCAGTGTTTAAGACCACATCCTGTTTAATTCATACCTCTAGGCTGACCTGGCACAAAGCTACAGTTTGCTTTGTGTCTTGGCTTTGGCCTGTTGTAGAGTCCATTTCTTGAGGCACAGCTTGTGGGCTCCGGGGGACGGAGCTCAAAC